TTTTAAATATTTTTTTATGTTTTTTATTTATTATTTTTTTAATGTTTTATTCTGAGAGAGAGAGAGAGAGAGAGAGAAAGAGGGGAGCAGGGGAGAGTCAGAGAGAGAGGGAGACAGAATCTGAAGCAGGCTCCAGGCTCTGAGCTGGCAGCCAGCACAGAGCCCAGTGCAGGGCTCGAACCCACAAACCGTGAGATCATGACCTGAGCTGAAGTCAGACGCTTAAGCGACTGAGCCACCCAGGCGCCCCTATTATCCTCCTTTTTAAAAGTAAGTAGGGAAGACTAAGAGGTATAATGACTTGCTTAAGGTCATGTTCCAAGCATGTAGCAGAACTGGGAATCAAACCCAGTGCTGTCGAGCTTTAAAACTCTTGCTCTTTCCTCTGAGGCAGATATTTAAGAAACAGTCCTCATCCTTTAAAGTTTACAATCTTGTTGTGGAAAGATCTACCCCAAAAAAAACAAGGAATAGTTAAGTTAGAGTAAGAGAAATGCCACAACATTAGTTGAATTTGCTCTGACTGATGGAAGGGAGTAACCTGGATTTAAGTACCTGCTCTGTCACTAACTAGTTTTGTGATCTTGGACAAGTTACATACCTTTTCTGAGCCCAGATTCTTTTCACCTGCTAAATGGGGATAGTCCTAAAAGAAAAAACTAAATTAAACAATACAAAATTTCTGACACCTAGAGGCACTGGATGGAATGTGATTATTGTAAGCACCTGGCTAAAAAACAAATGGGTCACCTCTCTGTGTTGTTTACACCTTAACTTTTCTCTCTTTGGCTCTGGGGACATACAAGGTCTCCAGATGCCCAAGTGAAGATCACTTAAAGGAGTTAGTTTCAAAAAGGTTGTCTAGAAAGTACTTCTGCCTGAGGGTTAAACCATTTTTAGGAAGATTCTTGATTTTTTTTTCTTCCCAATACAGCCTACTCTTAGCTCTCCAAGAAAAGTGAGGCCAAGGAAAGACATCCAGAATTGGAAAAGAAAAGCAAGATCAGGCTACTGTACATCTGAAGCAGGCAGAGTCCTTTCATTGCCTTTAACCTCATGACCATGTCTGAGGGTAGAACTGTACTTCCCAACATTTTACAAAATCTACTCTTCCTTGTGGAAGTAAAGTGCCCTGCTCCGTCCAGAAACTCCTCATTGAGAGGCAGTAGTAAAAGCATGAGATTTGAAGTTAGAGAAAGCCTGGGTTTTGATCCTTATTCTGGTACTTAAACAGCTTTGTGACTTAGAGATTTTTCTCTGAGTTTGTTTCCTCATTTGTAAAACGGGGATAGTACCAGCTACTTCACTGAGTTATTTTGTAGGATAAATGAGATAGCATTTGTACAGTATTTGATACATAGTAGACACTAAACGAATATTCCGTTCTTCCCCTTCCAAACATGGGAGATGGCCCCTCTTAAAAATGTCGTCTCTGTGTTTTCTTTCAAGGCTAAACTTTCTTGGTTCTTTCATCTTTTCGATTGTTTTATGTAAATCGTTCTGTGAATTCTCTAAAAATGCTTTAATATTCTTTTTAAAATTGTGAGATAAACTGGACAAAGGGATTCTAATTAAGATATGACTAGTATAAAATATAACAGAAAGATCCTGTTAGAAATTCACAGGGTGCATCTCATTGCATAAGAACAAATCTTTCTAGGGGTACCTGGGTGGCTCGGTTGGTTAAGCGTCCGACCTCGGCTCAGGTCATGATCTCGCAGTTTGTGAGTTTGAGCCCCGCATCGGTCTCTGTGCTGACAGCTTGACAGCTCAGAGCCTGGAGCCTGCTTTGGATTCTGTTTCCCTCTCTCTCTGCTCCTCCCCTGCTCATGCTCATGCTCTCTTTCTCCCAAAGTAAATAAAATTTTTAAAAATTTAAAAAAGAACAAGTTTTTCTACTGGGTTCAATTTTTGCAGCCTTGTTTCCTATAGGAATACAACAGATGAATAGACTTTGAGTCTTATCTTCTTGCACTGGCCAAGAAAAGTTTCTGGAAAGTAGTATAAAATACAGCTGAAGGGCCTAACTAAACTAGATGGTAGCAATTAAGACACAGAGAGACAGATAAAATGAAGCATATAATTTGTTACACATTTTTAGAAGCTCCTGGGTGATGTTTTCAGATCACAGATGTAGCATCTTTGTTCTTAGGACTTTTGAGGATTGAGTACCCAGTTTTTCAGTTTTGGAAACTCAAGAAGAGATATATTCAGAGATGATAGGCTCGGGGCACCTGGGTCGCTCGGTTGGTTAAGAGTCCAACTTCAGCTCAGGTTATGGTATCACAGTTCGTGGGTTCGAGCCCCACTTCAGGCTCTGTGCTGACAGCTAGCCCAGAGCCAGGAGCCTGCTTCAGATTCTGTGTCTCCCTCTCTCTGACCCTCCCCTGCTCGCTCGCTCGCTCCCTCTCAGAAATAAATAAAAACATAAAAAAATTAAAAAAAGAAAAAGAGATGATAGTGACTAGAAAAAGCTAATATTAGCAGTAAGTGGGAGGAGGGAATCGGTCAGGATATACCAGCAGTAAAACAACAGTGTGTCGTATGAAGCATTTAATCTGTTCATTGTAAGGTCAAATTTGTTTTCTCTTCCAAGCTGTCAAATATAGGAGTGTGAAAAGTACCGTTGTCTATAGTTCTTCCCATAGAAGTGAAGGTTTAATTAAGAATACTTACAATATGGGGGAGCCTGGGTGACTCAGTTAAGCATCCAACTCTTGATTTCAGCTCAGGTCTTGATCCTCAGGGTCGTGAGTTCAAGTCCCAAACTGGGCTCCATTCTGAGTATGGAGCCTACTTTAAAAAAAAAATTCACAGTATGATTAGCAGTTTTAATTGTCAGAAAGCAAGGGAGTATGTGCTCATGGGTGTAAGGTTAGCTCATCACATACTATAACATCTGAAATTAGGCTTTTTAATAAGCAGAATACTTCAGTTTGAAATTCTCAATTCTTACAAAATCTGTCAGAGTCAAAGCGATTTTTATTCATCTGTATACTTCACAATTGGACTTAGTCTAAACAGTGTTTTTAAAAACTGTTAAAGGTATAGATTTGAATAATGTGTTTGAAGTAGTATATCTTTTTTTTTCCCCTTCAGTAATCCTCACACCCAATGTGGAGTTCGAACTTACAACCCTGAGATCAAGAGTCCCATGCTTCACTGATTGAGTTAGCCAGGTGCCCCTGAAGTAGTATGTCTTTATATCTTAAACCAGTGACTTTCAAAGTCACTAGATCAGTAATACCAGCATCACCAGGTAACCTGCTAGAAATACATTCCTAACACAAATCCTGGCCTGGGGTTGGGGCCAGCAATCTACTTTAATAAGCCCTCCAGGTGATTCTAATGCATCCTGAAGTTTGAGAACCCTTACCTTAAAATTATAGAAGATAGATACTGTGGGAATTGTATATAAGGAGAACATTCTACATTATTTAGAATTTTCTGATGATTTTAGGGAGTATAAATTTTTTTCTTTCTTCCTTTCTTTCGTTTTTTACTCTTTTCAGTGGACCATATAAGCTTTTAGTTGCCTGCACACACCACTCCATCTCTGTTTGTACTCCTGTCGTAGCACTTCATTGCTGACTTCATAGCCTGTAGACTAGAAATGTCAGTGTATAAAGATAGTGAAGGTGGGGATCATATCCGACTTGTTCTGTTGTGTTTCCTGTACTTTGTAGGATAGATGTCTGGCCCTTAGTAAGTCTTCCATAGTGGTTAATGATCATCCTGTATCTCTCCCTTTATCTGCCTCTCCATAGGAAGCACTCAAACACTTTGAATGAGTGAGTGAATCAAGTTCCCTAATGATAGGAAATCTTTTTGAATACTAAGGTTATATCTGATGAAAGTATCTTGACCTGTGAATTGAAAGTACCTTGGTACATTTTTTCATTTAGGACATTGAATTTGGGCTAGATAGTGTTACTTGTATATTAAGCACCTCCTAGGAAATGTTTTTTTTTTTTTAATTTTTAACGTTTATTTTTGAGAGAGAGAGACAGAGCATGAGGAAGGGAAGGTCAGAGAGAGAGGGAGACACAGAATCCAAAGCAGGCTCCAGGCTTGGAGCTGTCAACACAGAGCCCAACATGGAACTTAAACTCACTAACCGCGAGATCATGACCTGAAAGTCCAATGCTCAACCGACTGAGCCACCCAAGCACCCTGTAGGAAATGGGTTTTAATTAGCATGTGTGCATATGTTATTTTACTCTGTCTTTAAAGTTTTTTTAATAGTTTATTTATTTTTGAGACAGAGACAGAGCATGAGTGGGGGAGGGGCAGAGAGAGAGGGAGACACAGAATCTGAAGGAGGCTCCAGGCTCTGAGCTGTCAGCACAGAGCCTGATGCGGGGCTTGAAACCACGAACCGTGAGATCTGACTTGAACCAAAGTCATACGCTTAACCAAGTGAGCCACCCAGGCGCCTGATTTTACTCTGTCTTTATAGTAACCTCATGAGGTAGATATTGCTTCCATTTTACAGATGAAGAAACCAAAAATTACAGCAATTGAATAACTTCAGTGTTCACAAAACTAGTGAGTGGCAGATTTAAGAACCATGTCGTTCAAACTCCTAAGGATTACTGTCATCCAAAGCACTACTGTCACAGTGGACTGAGTTTTGTGTCTTCATCAAGATAGGACTTTGTGCTTTTTCTTGATGCAGACTTTTTTCTTTCGTTCATTTATCCCTTTTTCCCCATCTCTGTGCATTGGTTTTGTTAAATCCATTTATTCTTAGGAAATATTTGAATGGCTCTAATGTAGCAGTTTCAGGTGGGAGTGGAAAAGCAAACTGCTTTCCTAAGAAGCAGGCTCTGGGTTTCCTAGTCAACTCTACACAGCTTTGGTGCTTTCAGCCAGTCTCTGTCTGAAATTAGCACATTCATCTGAACTATTTGGTTTTAGACGCTATTAATGCTTTATGCAGACTGGGAAATTTGCCTTTAGTTACCAGACAAAACTAAATTCTTTTTTTTCTTATTCAGAAATTGAGAAGATTCAGAAGGGAGATTCAAAAAAGGATGATGAGGAGAATTACTTGGATTTATTTTCTCACAAGAACATGAAGCTGAAGGAGCGGGTACTGATACCTGTCAAGCAATATCCCAAGGTAAGGCAAAAAGTGCCTCACTTCGTCATCTCTGTAGGTGTAAGAGTTGCTGGCTGTAACAAAGACTTCTGGAAATTGTGATGCATCAGTTACTTGAGCCTCTGAGGCTTCTCTTTCAAATACTGCTTCTTTGAAGTATTTGTTTCTGGCAGTTGAAACATCTACATCCATAAACTAACAGCATACCTATAGCCAGGAAGGAAATATAATCAACTTTATTACCAAAAAGGGTTTCTTTCTCAAATGTTTTTCCATCCTCCAAGTTCAAAGAGAAAAATTGAAGAGTTGCTCTCTCTCAAAAGATTGACATGGGGGAAAAAATTGACACGCAATCTAAGTATAGGAAATGTAACACAAATCCTTGATGAGATGAAGTTAATTTTATTAACATTTTGCTTTTAAATAAATGCTTTCTTGTTTTTCCTCCTCCCTTTTTTCCTTTTTTTAAATTTTTTATTTTTTTTATTTTAAAATTTATTTATTGTTTAATTTATATCCAAGTTAGTTAGTATATGGTACAACAGTGGTTTCAGGAGTAGATTCCTGAATGCCCCTTACTCATTTAACCCATCTCCTTCTCACAACCCCCCCAGCAACCCTCTGTTCTCTGTATTTAAGAGTCTGTTATGTTTTATCTCCCTCCCTGTTTTTATATTATTTTTATTTCCTTACCCTTATGTTCATCTGTTTTGTATCTTAAATTCTTCATATGCATGAAGTCGTATGATACTTGTCTTTCTCTGACTAATTTCGCTTATCATCATACCCTCCGGTTCCATCCACATAGTTGTAAATGGCAAGATTTCATTCTTTTGATTGCCAAGTAATACTCCCTTATATATACGTACCGTATCTTTTTTTTTTTTAAGCAAAGAAATTAGTTATATTTAGTTTACCAAACAAGTACTGCAAAAGAATGCCGTTTGTTCTGAGGTCACTGTGTTAAAAATATTTATGTGTGTTAAAGTACTAAGGATACAATCCTTAGTGTGTGATAATATGGGAAAAGCACCACATTACATTAGGAAACCCAAGTTCAAGTCCAGGAACTGCTGCTTCCTAGTTGTATAATCTTAAACTATTCACTTTTTCAGTATATCCTCAGCATATCCTTCAGTAAAACGGGAATGGTAACTCCCTATTTTACAGGGTTGTTGAAGACCAAATGAGATAATACATATGGAAATGTTTTATAGAAACATGGGTATTTAGGAATCTTTTTTTTTTCCAAATTTCTATTTACATTCTAGTTAGTTAACATATAGTATAATAGAAATCTGTTTTTATTTTCTGTCAGTTCAATTTTGTGGGGAAGATTCTTGGACCACAAGGAAATACAATCAAAAGACTGCAAGAAGAGACAGGTGCAAAGATCTCTGTTCTGGGCAAGGGCTCAATGAGAGACAAAGCCAAGGTAAGCTCACATCAGCGATGCAAGACCTGCCTTCTGGAAGCCAGCACTTATATGTGTACAGAATGTGAATCCTTTACATTTGCCTTTGATGTAAGAGATTATAGACAGGATTAATTTGGCAACCCTGGAAGAGCCTAGGTGTGCTCTGCTGATTTGCTTTGGTTTGGTTTTGTTTTTCTGGCCTTCAACTGCATAGTAATGAAGCAGCAGGAGCAACTTTCGCATTAGTCAGTTCTTCTAGGAAAACTTGGAAGGGGAGCCAGATGTACTAAAACTTATCCAGACTAAAGAAACTGAAATGTGAACAGCACATTCCCTTTCCAGTAATGTAGAAAAGTGAGAGCAGTAATGTTGTGAGTGCAGGTGAGTCTGAGGACGAGTTGTCTGGGTTGTTTGTTTGTTTACTTGCTTTGTAATAGCCAGCTGGCGTGTGAAGCCCACTAAAATAATTTTGAAAGGAACCATGAGTAATCCCAACAACAGAACCTAATGCTTATTTTTTTTTCTATGTCATAGTCCCATAGGCTTTGTACTTGTAAGTGCCAAAAAAATTCCCACTAATGCAATGTTGGCTTCTAGGGTCAGCTCTTTGGATGAGACATACCAGGTACAGCCTAAAACATTCAGGGCTCCTTTTATGTAGCTTAAATTGACAAACATTGTTTTCTCAGACTCTTCTTTTGTCCCCTCACGTTTCTCACTAGATGAATACAGTTAGGGTTGAAGTGTGTTATTCTAGCTAATGAGATTTACATGAAATTTCTTCACTCTGTCCTGACTTCTTTCCTCCCTTAGGACTCCCCAGACAATGTAAGAAATTAAGAAGAGCTGGTGCTGGGACACCTGGCTGGCTCAGCCAGTAGAGGATGCTACTCTTGATCTCAGGGTTGTGACATCAGTCCCCACATTGGGGCTAGAGATAACTTAATAAATTTAAAAAGTTAGGGGCATCTGGGTGGCTCAGTCAGTTAAGCGTCTTACTCTTGGTTAGCTTAGGTCATAATCTCATAGTTTCTGAGTTTGAGCCCCACTTCTACCCTGGCAGCATGGAGCCTGCTTGGGATTCCCCCCTGCCTCTGCCCCTTCCCTGATTATGCTCTCAAAATAAATAAATAAACATTAAAAAATGGGGCGAGGGCCTGGGTGGCTCAGTTTGTTAATATCCAACTTTTTTTTTTTTTAATGTTTGTTTCTGAGAGAGAGAGAAAGAGAGACAGACCTTTGGAGAGGGAGGGGCGGAGAGAGAGGGAGACTCAGATCCTGAAGCAGGATCCAGGCTCTGAGCTGTCAGCACAGAGCCTGATGCAGGACTCGAATGCACAAATGGTGAGATCATGACCTGAGCCCAAGTCAGACGCTCAACCGACTGAGCCAGCCAGGCACCCCAAGCATCCTGACTCTTGATCACAGGTCATGATCTCTCAGTTTCATGAGATCAAGCTTAACATTGGGGTCTGTGCTGACAGGAATTCTCTCCCCCCCCACCCCACTCGCACTGTATCTTTTTTTCTCAAAATAAATAACTAAACATTTAAGAAACACATTCTTTTAAGTAAAAGTTAAAAGAGCTGGTGCTTAACAGCTCTACCTGGGATTTAAAAGCAAATGCTTGGCAATGAATGCATGCTTGCTTGGCAAACTGCTGATATCTGAATGGAGACTGGAATTGAGTCTCTTCTATACCTTCTGATAAGAGCTGCAGTGAATACACCAGGAATTCAAGACAGTAGTTAACTGTAAGTAGCCTACCGATTATATGTTTAGTAGGTTGTGTGAATTACTATTCTCCAGACCTTATTTTGCTTTCTTCTTACACTTTACTATTTTTCTCACATGTTTAGGTTATTTCTTGCTGTCTCTTTGGGCTGGAGGTAATGGCATCATTTTCTTGCATTGCACATGATGTGATGTTTTTCTGCCTTTTTTCCATAGGAGGAAGAGCTGCGCAAAGGTGGAGATCCCAAATATGCCCACTTGAATATGGATCTGCATGTCTTCATTGAAGTCTTCGGACCCCCATGTGAGGCTTATGCTCTAATGGCCCATGCTATGGAAGAAGTCAAGAAGTTCCTAGTACCAGTAAGGAAATTCACTTATATCTTTGGGCAAGAGAGAACTGGGATCTTGTGTTGTTGCTAAGGCAGGGGCTCTTAATTGTGGTCTCTGCATAACCTGAAACTGGATATCGAATTCTACATTTATGTTCATTTTTCTGAGGTAGTCTGTTAATTAATTGAACCTAGTTCTCAAAGCACTGAACCCCAAACCCACTCTATCCCTCCTTGTTTAATGTGGTTTTAGTTCTGTAGCAGTAGCTGTTGTCAGTATCTTGGGCCCACAGTGTGTCTGACATTTTAACATCTGGTTAAAAAAGACCTAACAAAGTCTTCACTGAGCTAAGTGTATTGGTGCTAGTGTCGAACCAGGAGGTTATGATAAGAAAATGGCTAAGATGGTTGTAAACCCTCTCAAGGAATTTTGTTCTAGAATCCAGAGAGTGTACAGGATTAACAGCAAGAAGCTTCTAACATCCAGTGTTAATGGATTACATTTTGACCTAGGTGCATTCAGGACTTTCTCCTGGAGGAATTTACTTACGTAGAGTTTGATTTGAAAGAGGCATGATCGTTACAGGCTTGACTATCAATAATATTAAATAGATTGGTGTGCATCTCCTTCTGGAATGTAACTGAGGCCCAGGAAGAGCTGGGATAGACCAGGTTACCTGTCTTGCATAATTATTACCACCTGGTCGGAGGATCCATTCTTTAAATAAGTAGAAAATGGTGTGATTCTTGCCTTCCAGCAAGTCCTTCTAGTTGTCAGAGTTAACATGCTGCAGTTGAATATTTAATGACCAAGGATGAATTTGGAACCTTAGGAAGCATTGAAATACTATTAACTAGAATTGGGTAAGCATCGTGTTTGCCTCAGTAAAACTAAGAGGAGGTGAGATACAGTTCTTGGTTTTCTGTGTACGTAAAATGAAGAGTTGGAACTAAACTTGGTGTCAGAGGATGTGAGAGTAGGTAGAGCAAAAATTTACAGGCAGGGCATACCTATAATGCTGAGCTCCAGGAATTCTAGCACCTTCTCAGCTGTCTCAGCAGCTGCTTTGCTTCCAAGTACCTCGTCTTCGTTAGAATGTTTAAACATGAAGCAGCCAATTTAAAATATCCTAGAGAAAAAAGAGCTGGTAAATTTTCCCTTGATGGAGTTCTTTTTACTCGTTTTGAGTTTTCTATTGAAGCATCCTGAGCCACTCAGTTTCTGAAGGAATAAATAGGGTGAAGGCCCATCTCCTCTATCCTTAGTCTCAGCATATTTTTCAGAAGGGGTAGCTTTACAAGGCTTTCGTGTAAGTGGATCTTCTGAAAAGATGCCTCTGCCAGGCAGATCTGGGTTTCCTCAGCCAGAAGAATCTAGGCAAATGGGCTGTCATTGGTCACTTGACTCTTCAGTGTGGATGTCAAGCGGCAGTAATGTGTAAGGTAGGAGGAAGTGAAGAGTGAGGGCGGGGGCATCTCTGGGTGACTAGAGTCCTCTATTGAATCTCTATCCACCTGGGATGTATAAAAAAGCATGGAGTGTTAAAACTAAATGGCTCTCATCAGGAAATATGTGAAAAGATATGCAAATGGCATTTGATTCAGTTCTTCCCTCTTGTGAAGACAGAAAAGTGAGCCTGTTTTTGCATCCATGACCAGAGCCTCCGTTTTCCCCTTAGAACCATTAACTGTACCAGAGAGGCTTCCTGGTACAGTAGGAAGAGCACTGGACTGGGACCTTTATCTGCATCATCTTGGACAAGTTATTATTTCACTTTTCTGAGCCTCAGGTTCCTTGTTCATCCCAAACATTTGTTAAGTATCTGGTAGGTGCCTAATACTATGCTTGGATCTGAAGTTACAAAAATGGCTCCTTTCTCACAATGTAGTGAGAAAGACAGACAATTCTAAAATGACGTGGTAAGTGCTTGGGTAGGGAAGATACACAGTGCTGTGGAAAGAGAGGAGGGAATGGGGGTGGCCTCAAAGAAAGTTTTTCAAAAGAGGTAACATTTTAGATTAAGTCTTTTAAGAGTGAGTTTGAGTGTTTCAGGTAGACAGAAAAGGCAATATAGTCTGATGATTCAAAGCCTAGAGTTTGGAGACAGGTAATTCTGAATTCACTTCGAGTCTGCCTCTTACTAGCTCCATATCCTTAGGCTGGTGGCTTTATATGCCCTGATTCTGTTTCCCAACTGTAAAATGGCAAGATCTGCCTGCTTAATTCAGGGTTATCTTGAAGGTTAAAAAGTGCCCCTTGCATAGAGCCTAACTAATGATAGTGGCTTTTACTATTCTAGGAAGAGGAAGCTGTTTGTAAGAATGTATGAGTATGAGTACACCAGGTTCTGAACTACAAGTCGTTTCACATAGCTTGAAAGGAGGTTATCCATGGAGGTTATTCCATCCATGGATGGAAGTGATCTGGAGAGCTAGGTAGGGACCCATGATGAAGAGCTTCGGCTTAATAATGAGGGGTCTGCCATCAGGACTTTTCTTGAAGAGGTGACAGGTAGGGTGCCATTTGACTTCAGAGAATGCATGACCTGAGACTTCATGCGGGCATTCAGATCTGGTCGTAGCATCCAAGGCTTATGTGGGCTGGACGACTTCTCAGCAAAAGGTGGAGATGTAGCACAGTACTCCTCATTATCTTCCATTTGCAGGATATGATGGATGATATCTGCCAGGAGCAGTTTCTAGAGCTCTCCTACTTGAATGGAGTACCGGAGCCCTCTCGTGGACGTGGGGTGCCAGTGAGAGGCCGAGGAGCGGCACCTCCTCCTCCACCTGTTCCCAGGTAAAAATAATGGGGATGAGTAGAAACAGAAGGTAAATTTGACTGCCAGTACCATCTCTCTTTTAGTGGTGCTCCATCTTAGAAGGGGGCCTCAGGATTCGTGCTATCAAGAATGGAATAGTAATCTTGCCACTTTGGTTATAGTTGTGTGCAGCTGTCCTGTTGAAACTTTTGGTGTTTTAATTTTGGACAGTTCTAGCATTTTAAGACGGTCTCTGACTTTAGAATTTTATACGTTTTGTGACTGCCCTTTATGGAGTAATCCAACTTTCCAAAGTAGCAGCCCACCGACGGGACATTCACAGGTTCACTGTGGGACTGGGTCCTTTATCCACCTATACATTCCTCTGTGTTTTAATAATAGTCAGTTGGAGCCATTGTGAAATCTGAACATTAATCTATCTTCTAGAGGCTCTATTTAAAATAAGTTTTTGGGGGGCGCCTGTGTGGTTCAGCCGGTTAAATGTCCGACTCTTGATTTCGGCTCTGGTTGTGATCTCACGATTTGTGAGCTTGAACCCCAGCTGACCCCATATTGTGCTGTCAGCACAGAACCTGCTTTAGGATTCTCTTTCTCCCTCTCTCTCTGCCCCTCTCCTGCTCTCTCATGTGCGCTCTCTCCCTCTTTCTCTCAAAATAACTACTTCTTTTTTTTTTTAAAGGTTATTCTTCAAAAATATAAAAGTAAATTCTCTTTTGCAGGGGCCGTGGTGTTGGACCACCTCGGGGGGCTCTGGTGCGTGGTACACCAGTGAGAGGAGCCATCACCAGAGGTGCCACCGTGACGCGAGGAGTGCCACCGCCCCCTACAGTGAGGGGTGCGCCAGCACCAAGAGCGCGGACAGCAGGCATCCAGAGAATACCTTTGCCTCCACCCCCTGCACCAGAAACATATGAAGAATATGTAAGAAGTTTGAACCATGTGCCATTTCCCAGTACCTAAAAGGTTCCCAAAGGAAGTTGAATGACAGGATCGAGGCCCTTAATATAGGTGGCAGGGACTACCTGTAAGATCTGGAGTGCTCTCTTCTCTTGCAGTGGCTATTAACACTACGAGAAGATTTTTCCATTTGAAGCATGGTTTACTATGTGTGAATAGATTCCACAGGAAAATAGGCTGTGCCTTGATATATGCAGTATTTTACGGAGGGGTCTTTTCACTAGTTACTATTGATAATGCTAAAATTCACCTTTTTACCTGTTTCCTGCCCACATTTTTGGTTTGGTTGGTGGTTCAGTTTTGTTTCATTTGAAAAGTAAATAACCTTTTCTCTCTCAGCCATTCCACAGTAGGTGTTAATTTTGGAGGGAAATTCTGCATTCTGTTAATCCAGGAGCCTGCCAGCCTCCCACAGGATGTAATTACCTCCCCTCCTCTTTGTGATACTGACTTTCTGTTTCATTTTTTGTTCTAGGGATATGATGATACATATGCAGAACAGAGTTATGAAGGCTACGAAGGCTATTACAGCCAGAGCCAAGGGTGAGTCAGGCCACAGAAGTGCCGTTTTTAGTCCTAGGGATGGACGGAGGGAGCTGGAGCAACAGAGAGATTTAGGAAGCACATATCTAGGGAATGATGTGGCTTCCCTTTGGAGGGTATCTCCTTTCCTTTCCATGTCTGTAAGGCACCGGATCTGTTAGGTTTAGATAATTGTAGGATCTGGAAATAGCAGATGAAAAATTCCTGAGCTGTGACCACATGTAAATAAAGGGAAAATGCCTTTAAAATTGTTTTGATTTATTATTTGAAAATATCGTAGCCACATTAAAGGTGCATAAAAGCTTAAGAGGAAGCTAGAATCCTACTACCATAAGTAAGGTTGTTTTCTGCGCTTTTCTTAAATAACTTTTTTTGTGTATATGCATTTTATCTGTGATTGATTGAAAGTGTCATAATTCTACAGTGGGGACAGAACGGCATGTTTGTTTATTCTCTTCCAGTGAGCCCTATAAATGTGTGTGTGTGTGTGTGTGCAGTGTGATTAAGATGGTCAGTTTGGGATTTTGCTTTTTCCCTTTAAACTATGTGGTATCCAGTTTTCTTTGCTGCTATTGTCATTTTTTTTTTATATAAACACATAGCACATACATGCTTTGGAAGTTTTTTCTGGTTTGGAGATGGAACAGAATTAGCATCTTCCTATTTTATACATGTAGGAGAATGACTGAGACATGGGGGGAGGTGAGACTGAAACAGACTTACTCTCGAGCTCTCTAACACTCTGTCTTTGGCTTTCAGGGATTCAGAATATTATGACTATGGACATGGGGAGGTTCAAGATTCTTACGAAGCTTATGGTATGTCTTTATTTCTGTGGTGGGCAGAAGGTGCAAGTAAGTGCCCGGGATTGTGCTGGTGACTGGATTATTGGGGGTCCGCCAGTCACACACCTAAGTAGAAGCTTTCAGAAAGCTGAGGTGTTGGTAGACGTGACAGGAGCAGTGCTGCCCTTACTTAAATTGCACGACATGTCCTAGGAAGAGGGGCTCTTGAAGGAACGTGAGGTTACTGTGACTCTTGGGAAGCTCAGCAGATGTCTCAGACTCGGGCTCAGGTCCGGCTTGGTCTGGTTGGAGCCGCAGACTTTTAAGCCTCTGTTGATCTTTTTCTGCATCAGATCTGGAGAGGTGGCTAGGCCTAGGTCATGTTGCAGGGCCCTTGCCGCTGGTGCCTAGGCCATACCAGCAGATAACAAAGAATTTAATCGTACCCAGCTTTATTCTGCAGCCCCTGCTTCGTGTTGAAGAACAGTTTTGAATCCCATCAAAAAGAATCTGTGTAGAGGAAATGTTAGCTGCAGGGGAGCTAGATGGCAAGTAGCTCACCAGGGCAGGCTGGGTGCAAGAACTGTGCCTGCCAGTCTCAGATCTGAGGCCATGGGGGCTGGAGCCAGTTCAGGGCAGTACTGGCACCAAGCTCCTTACTGGCTTAGAGACCTCTCAACTCAGTCCTTGATCCCAAGAGAGCTACAGAGGCTGGAATGGCAACAGGGCCAAGCTGTCTTCCCTGAGGTTTAGTTGAAAACACATTGCTCAAGAGTGTCCTCAGGAGCCAGTTATGGCCCTGGGTTAATGGGCCCCAGAGGGAGTGCCGTGTGGCAGTGGGTGCAAAGGCAGCAGCCTTTGAAATGCAGGGTCTTTTCAGCATACCTGAGGGAATTCCAGAGTCCTCAGCAAGGGACAAGGGGCTTGGCAAGGGGCTCGTCATTTGACAGTTCATCTTAAATACACTAGTTGACAGTCTTCCCTTACTCCTAGTTGAAAAGAGGTGGTGGGGAGCCTTTTAGAGCCCCCACAGATAGATAAGCTGAGCTTAATTCCTCAGCACTGTGTGAAGTAGCCAGTCAGCTGCTTGCCCGGGGAAACAATTTTTACCAATTCTAGCTAAATGGTACTGGACAGCTGCCATCAGTAACACTGCACTGCTCTGCTTGCAGGCCACTATTTAGAAGGGCAGTGGGATTGCCCTAGGGTATTTCCCTCCATCGGCCAGGCAGTACAGTGGGGCCTCTGTATGTGTTTGACTAAATTACATTTCTGTTTTGCCAGAGAAGAGACTGGACTAAAAGAGGCAGGCTGCCTCTTTTGCTCCTGGTATGATGTTGCCACAGTTAATCTGTTATGATTTCTGCCTTTGTAAACAGAATTAGGAAAATAAAACCATCTTGTTGGTACCAGAAGCCACTTGGAAAGTGATGGATGTACCTATTACACCAAGGGTATAAACAGGCTTAGATAAAAATTCTCTGACACTTTAGATCATACGAAGTTTGAGACGTATCGTGATAGAGGCTCGTATTTGTGAATGCGGGCAGCTGGAGAAATACTTCAGGGATGAACTGGCCTGGGCAAAGGATGGGGCAAGTGGGAAGAATAAGCTCATAAACACAACTCTTTTTCCTAAAAGGTCAGCCATAGAAGTAAGCGATACCTCCCTTGGGCTTTTCCCTGTGACAGAGGAAAACCATTTGAGGATGTCAGCCATGGTGTCTGGCTTCTCTGGACTATTGCCTGAGAAAGAAAATAATGACTTCTCTTTATCAGTGCTATAAACACATTCTCTTGTACCTCCCTCCACCAGAGCAGTGGACCGGCTCTGTTGGTGAGGAGGCCTCATCAAATGTGGCCATTGCTTGCTTCTCTCAGAGAGCCAGAAGACACGTCTCAAAGGGAAACCCGACTTGCTATTAGAGAGCTTCCATTCTGAAAGACTTCCCAAAGTTACCACGTTACCTGAGGCTTTCTGCCAAACTCCTTTGGGAACAGGAAAAAAGGGCATGGTAGACCCACCAAGACTGATTTTTTTTTTTTTTTTTTACTGTCTTAAGTAAGGTGTTGGGTTCATCCAGGTTTGAGGACTGGAGTAGAGATCATCTGTGGAAAGCCTCTTTGCTGTAGTTGACTCTGGGTCTTTTCTGAGCTGTTGTCTTCTGTCTGTCCACTCAAAATTGCCCTAAAGCTGGGAAGTAAACTAAGCCATTCAGGAGACCCAGGCAGAGTAAAAAAGCAAGGACCCCTGGGAGGTGGTGTGACACTGGAAGCGAAGCAGTGTTTTGGTGATCTTTACCGTGTGCCCCATTCCTGCTCGTTCCTAGATGCCAGTGGCACATGGTTTATGAACTGTTCTTGCTTTCCCCACAGGCCAAGACGACTGGAATGGGACCAGGCCGTCGCTGAAGGCCCCTCCAGCTAGGCCAGTGAAGGGAGCATACAGAGAGCACCCATATGGACGTTATTAAAAACACACATGAGGGGAAATATCAGTTATGAGCAAAGTTGTTACTGATTTCTTGTATCTCCCAGGATTCCTGTTGCTTTACCCACAACAGACAAGTAATTGTCTAAGTGTTTTTCTTCGTGGTCCCCTTCTTCTCCCCACCTTACTCCATTCTTAACTCTGCATTCTGGCTTCTGTATGTAGTATTTTAAAATGAGTTAAAATAGATTTAGAAATATCGAATTAATTTTTTAAGTGTGTAGATGCTTTTTTCTTTGTTGTTTAAATATAAACAGAAATGTACCTTTTATAATAAAAAAAAAGAAGTTGAGTAAAAAAAAAACCACAGACCTGTTAGTTTCAAAAGTGGCATTGCTTGCTTTAAAGGTTCTGAAGTTTAAGGCTTGTTAACTTTCTCTTAGTTTTGATTTGAGGCATCCCGTAAAGTTGTAGTTGCAGAATCCCAAACTAGGCTACATTTCAAAATTCAGGGCTGTTTAAGATTTAAAATCACAAACGTTAACGGCAGTAGGTGCCACCATGTAAAAGTGAGCTCAGACGTCTCTAAAAATGTTTCCTTTAAAAGCACATGGCGGTTGAATCTTAAGGTTAAATTTTAATATGAAAGATCCTCATGAATTAAATAGTCGATGCAATTTTTAACGTTAATTGATTTAAAACAACAACAACAACAAAATTAGGTTTGTAAAACTGACTTTTTCATTATGTGGGTTTTGAAATCTAGCCCCAGACATACAGTGTTGAGAGATACTTCGTGGGGAGTACAATTTGTATAGGTTGATTTGGGGAGAGGGGCCGGCCACTGGGATTGAATCTGATGCAGAGCTTTTTAGCCACGAAAAACCTTTCAATGATAGCACTAATGATTAAAATTTCAGTATTTAAAAAGACAAAGTGTTTTGTCCATCTGAGATTCTGCACTCCATGAAAAGCTCACTTGGACACTAGAGCCAAAAGCTGATGATTTTTTTTAAGTTGACAGTGGTCAATATTGAACTGTTCCCAAGGTAGTTAGTCAAGTATGTCTCAACACTAGCATGATATAAAAAGGGACACTGCAGCTGAATGAAAAAGGAATCAAAATCCACTTTGTACATAAGTTAAAGTCCTAATTGGATTTGTACCGTCCTCCCATTTTGTTCTTGGAAGATTAAATGCTACATGTGTAAGTCTGCCTAAATAGGTAGCTTAAACTTATGTCAAAATGTCTGCAGCAGTTTGTCAATAAAGTTTAGTCCTTTTTTAATCAAAGTAAATGTGATGAATTGTCATTTTTTTGGGTGGACAATAAAATAGTTTTCTCTTTCAAATAAACTTAAATTAACTCTAAAGTTAATGGGCTTGTTAAAAATTTGGAGGCATTCTTAAAAGTGGTGGGGGGGATTTTATTTTAAGTTTACCAAAAAAAAGTTTATCGAGTCGTTAAGTTTTAGTTTAAAAATAACCAAAGCTTTTTCACCCCCTGGAAGTTGTTGACAGCAGTTTTATCCCATCCTATATCACAGGCTCTAATTTCTGGAAAGACAAGCCCAACCGAGCCGAAACTTGGATCGGTTCCTGTACATAGGCCTCAGTATTGAAAGTGCCAGCCACCCTCGCTTGCACCTTCTGTAGAGCCCCCAGGTGGCCCTAAGAGTGATACCAAATAAAAGGGATAGCACCTGCCTTTAGATATGACAGTTCAGCAAACCCTGGGTGCCCTTAAGGGTTTCCCTTCCAATCCCAGAAATGCTGTCAATAAATTGCAGCCGGGCTGGGGCAGGATCTGGCATGATAGGCTGTTTTGGAACTCCCTCCTGAGAGACCAAGAGAGGAAATGATGGAATTGGTTGGCCCTGCTTCCACTCCTCTGTTAATTCTCGGGGTTCTCATGCCTCCCCTCAGGGAGCCACCTAAACTGCTCGGGGGTGAAAAATCCTCTTGTATGAAGTGCCAAGCTGCCTGCAGCAGTGCATGATGGACATTTTTTTTTTCTTTTTAAAACACACCAACAAAAAAATGTATTTGTAGATTGTGATAAAGTGTAAATAACTGAATTTTCAACCATGGTTTGAAGTCAGCTTTCAGGGCATTATGTCTTGTTTTGATGAAAAGAGATCACTCTATACCCCCCTTTTTAAAGGAAAATTATCGCAAGAGAATCAGGATGTGTAAAGCTAACATGCATCGCAAAAAACCAAAGGTAACCTAAATGTCTGATTTTAATAGCACATATTTCTCTTTTACATAAACTGTGACAGCAACTTGCATAAACAATTCTTTAGCTGTTAATTTTAATGTTAAAACTTTGCAAAACTTGTTTAATAAAAGTAGCTGTAAAAAGAAAAACCATATGCTGCCGCATAAATTAGCCATAACTCTTAATAATCCTGCCCATCACAAGTGAACTGTAATGTAACCTGGGCACAAAGTCTGACATCTTAAATGACACATTGTAAAATTTCAATGAATGTAGATTAGACCTGCTGCTCCCCAAAGTCAAGCTTTCTGCTCAGCTGTTTAAAAATGTACAAGGATGAGCCCCTATAGGTCCCCGTATTGATATTCACAATGAAACGTTACTTAAAATTTCTTTAAAGTTGCATGTTTCTCTCCTGTAATGTGTAAACTGCATGCAGGATCTCTATCTTTTATTTTGTATGTCTTTAAAACTTCCTCTTCAAAAGACTGACCTCGTACTTCTCCATTTTCAGGTGACTGAAAACTCCTGAGGCATTTCCTGGAGTAGAATGGGTAGTGAAGACCCATGTCAGGTAGGTTAAGGTGGCTTTCTATTAAGGATGTGGGACTTTTATCCTAACTGTAAAATAGTTTTGCCAGGAGGTGGCCTGAAACAGGTGACCAGTGGGTACATCTTTCTTGCCCGTCATCTGTATCATGTTTACATTACAGCTATGTTTATATGTTAGTCTACAGTCCATATTGAATTTACTTGTTATGATCGTAGTGTCCACTTTTAACTATCGAATCCCACTCTATCCTGTCAATAATCTTATGGGCGGGGGGAGGCAGTTCATCGGTTGGGGTTCATTGGTTATAAGCAACAAAGTGACTAGATAATGTAAATAAAAGGGTATGTATTAGAAGTGTGTTAGGGCCTCCAGATTAGTGTGAAGACTAGGAAATCTGGCATGGGAACCAGATTGCAGAGAACTAGGACATCAGTGGTAGATCACAGGAATGTTCTAGAAGACAGGACTAGCTATATAGGTACTGTTGCTAGAATGAGTAAACTTTAGCTGTGTTTGCTTTCTTTCTCCCTTGAGATTCAGGTTCTAGGGAGGGAATGTTAGACTGTATTAGCTTGAGTCACATGTTCATTCTTTACCAGGAAGTGGGAAGAAAAAACTAATCATTTAAAAGGAAGCCAGGGTGTTACTGGGAAAAAGGAACGGATACGGGGCAGCCAAAAAACAATTGTCCAGTAATATTTGTATATTACAGAAGTAACTGAGACTTAATGAGGTTGAATGACTTCCCAGGGTCACATAATTAGTATGGTTAGTAATTGAGCCCAAGTTTTTTCCAGAACTTAACATCTTAACTCTGTTTATTATACTGCTTTTAGTCTAAGGAAAGGGGTATTTCTCGCCCTGAGGAGACCCTCAGAAAAGACAGTGTGGCATAGTAGAAAGAGCATGAGACATGACAAAGAGAGTTGAATCTCCAAGCTGTCTTTGTTTAGTGACCTGAAACAAACCACTTATTTCCAAACCTAGGGAGGAAGATAGTAATAATGTACACCTTACAGCAATTGGCAAACCAGATGAGTGTTACTATGTATAAGGCCAACCAGTGTGGTGTCCTGTATGTAGTAAATATTGGTGTTCTTTGTCTAAAAAAGGTTAACCCCCAGATTTGGGTAGACTGGGTCCGACAACTGAGCAAGCCTTCCTGCTGATTGAAGCTGTCCAGGAACTAGCTGGATGATTTTTCCCTCTGCCCCGAGAGAATTGTTAAGGTTAACAGGGCACTGAAGGGAAAGGACCAAACTACTTAGGCCAAAGGCCTGTATAGCCTTTGACGGTGAAATGTGCCTTCTTGGGAGATCATGTCTTCCCAACCTGCTTCTCCCAGGAGCCTCTGAGGATCTGGAGACTTTAAAGAAGACCATGTGTGTTGGTCATGGTTCAGGGTACCTGATAAGGCCTAAATGTGATATTGATTACATGAATGGCAAGGCAATTTCAGGGAGTCCTCGAATGCAGAGAATGAGTCTTGGCTCTTCTTAGGGTAGTCTTAAGAGCAGAATTTGGGGGATGCTTCTTCATTTGGCCTGTATTTTGTGCCTGGGGAAATGGGCTTTATTGTTGGCTGACTAGGATCTGCAACAGGTGGTCTGCTTTTTCTGAGTGTGTGGCTTAGTTGGTCCCAGTGTTTTCTATCTATAGCTTTCTGTCACTACCTGTGAATTTTTATTATTGCAGTCCTGTAAGCTTTTAGAGGCAAGCAGGACTGGGGACCTGTCCTGCCTCTGCTTCATCATAGCTTTTGTCTTTGTTTTGACAAAAACAAAACCCTTAATCCCTCTCTGGGTCTCAGTAAAGTTGATAATAGTAGCTAACATTCACTGTTTGTTATTATCCTAAGCAGTTAATAAGAATTATCTCATTTCATCTTCTCTACCTTTCTTAACTGTTATAAAATTTGTGTAATGTAAAATTTACCATTTTAACCATTCTTTTAGTTTATTTCTTTATTTTGAGATAGGGGAAGAGTGTACATGTGCACATGTGAGCAGGGGAGGGGCAGAGAGAGAGAGAGAATCCCAAGCAGACAAGCACCACACTGTATGTGTGGAGCTGGACATGGTGCTTGATCCCACAAATGGTGAGATCATGACCTGAGCTTAAATCAGAGGAGATGGTCACTAACTGACTGAGCCACCCAGGGACCCCATTTTAACCATTTTGAAGTGTACAGTTTGGTAGTTTTTAAAATATTCACAATGATGTGCAATCATTACCACTATTTAATTCCAGAAAATTTCCATTACCCCAAAAAGAAATCCCACACATGTTAGCAGTCATTCCCAATTCCCCTCTCTCCCCAGCCCCTGGCAGCCACTAACCTACTTTTTGTTTCTATGGATTTGCCTATTCTGGACGTTTCACATAATTGGAATTATATAATATGTGCCTTCTGTGATAGGCTTCTTTGACTTTGCATAATATTTTCAGGGATCATCCATGTATCATTACAGCATGTATCATTACTTCATACTAGTGATAGGAAGCATTTATTTCCAAAAGCAACCCATTTTATTGAAGACAGCTGCAAGTACTTGAAGTGTTCCCTCATTTTGAAGAGTCACTCCAGTGGTTTATACTGGTTCTTCTTTGGACCCCTAAAGGAATATCCTGTCAAGCATTTGAAGATCGTTTTCTTTCTTCTTCTTCTTTTTTTTTTATCTCTATTTATTTTTCCTTAAATAGTTTATTGTCAAGTTGGTTTCCATATAACACCCAGTGCTCATCCCCACAAGTGCCCTCCTCCATGCCCATCACCCCTCGTCCCCTCTCCCCCGCTCCCATCAGCCCTCAGTTTGTTCTCAGCATTCAAGAGTCTCTCATGGTTTGCCTCTCCCTCTCCCCCACTATTTCCCCACTTCTCTCCCATGGTCCTCCATTAAGTTCCTCCTAATCCACCTATACGTGCAAACATAGGGTATCTGTCCTTGAAGATCATTTTCATTCATGCTTCTTTTCCAGTTCCAGAAGTTTTTTTTGTTAGACTTCCTCGATCTGATTTTCAAGAAGAACTAGCAATTTGGTTTTATATATTGGCAGTTGTTGGGGGTTTTTTTTGGTTTTTTGGTTTGTTTTTTAATATTTAAAAAAAATTTTTTTTAATGTTTATTTTTGAGAGAGAGAGAGAGACAAAGTGTGAGCGGAGGAGGGGCCGAGAGAGGAAGACACAAACCCAAGCAGGCTCCAGGCTCGGAGCTGTCCACACAGAGCCCGACGTGGGGCTGAAACTCACAAATGTTGAGATCATGACCTGAGCTGAAGTCAGACCCTTACCCGACTGAGCCACCCAGGCGCCCCTATACTGGCAGTTGTTTAATGTTTACTCAGATCAGTATTAGTCCCTGTAAAACTTCTGCTGTAAGCCAAATGCTGCCCATAAACCTACCAGTTTGCAGCCTCTAGCCAGCTTCTATTAATACAAATTAAAAGACACATTAGGCTTATTGTGATATAATCATATCCATGTGTTTCACCCATTTAATTATATAATTCATTGGTTTTTAATATATAGAGAATTGTACAGTCATCACCACAATCAATTTTAGAACATATGTACCATCCCCAAAAAAGAATTTCCATGCCTTTTAGCCGTCGTCTCTATCCACTTGCCTTCTCCAGCCCTAAGCAACCACTCATCTACTTCCTACCTCTGTTGACTTGCCTGTTTTGGACATTTCATGTAAATGGAATCATACAATACGGGATTTTTTTTGACTGGCTTCTTTCACTTAGCATAATGTCTTCAAGGTGCATCCATGTCGTAACACGTATTAGTACTATATTCCTTCTGGTGTCAAATACTGTTTCATTGGATGTATGTTGCACTTGTTATTTATCCATTCACCCATTGATGGGCATCTAGGTTGTTTCTGTTTTTTGGCCATAATGAAAAATACTATGGGGCGCCTGGGTGGCTCAGTCGGTTATATGTCCCACTTTGGCTCAAGTCATGATGTCATAGTTCATGAGTTTGAGCCCCGCATCGGGCTTTGACCTGGCAGGGTGGCGCAATAGGTTAATAAGCATCTGGCTTCAGCTCAGGTCATGATTTCCCAGTCATAGGTTCGAGCCCCGCATCAGGCTCTGTACTGACAGCTGAAGAGCCTGGAGCTGCTTTAGATTTTGTATTTCTCTCTGCCTCCCTCTCCCTCCCTTTCTCCCTCTCTGTCTGTCTCTCTCTCTCAAAAATAAAGTTAAAAATAATAAATAAGTATAAAGCTGAGCCCACTTCAAATCATCTGTCTCCCTTCTCTCTCTGCCTCTCCCTTGCGTGTGCTCTCTCTTTCAAAAATAAACGTTAAAAAAAATACTTGGCCATTAATGTACAAGTTTTTGTGTGGACCTACGTTTTCAGTTTCTTGGACGTGCACCTGGAAGAGGAATGACTGGGTCAGAAGGCAGCTCTTTGCTTAACTGTTGGAGGGACTGCCAGAGGCCACACCATTCCCACCGGCAATGGATGAAGTTCTAATTTCCCCATCTCCCCACTGATGTTTGTTATTTTCTGCACTGTTTATTGTAGCTATTCTGCTAGGTGTTTATGATTTGTACCTTCCTTAATGACTAATGTTGAGCGTCTTTTCATGTGCGGATCCCCTATTCGTAGATCTTTTGTGGAGAGATGTCTATTTAAATCTTCTATCAATTTTCACATGGAATTGTTTGTCTTTTATTAAATTGTAAGTTCTTTATATGGTCTGGTGATAGACCCTTGTCAGATATGTGTTTTGCAAGTATTATTCTCCTGTTCCCATGGGTTATCTTTTTATTTTCTTTGTGTGTTGTTTTTTTTTGTTTTTTGTTTAGTTTTAAGTAAGCTCTGTGCCCAACATGGGGCTTGAACTCACAACCCTGAGAACAAGAGTCTCATGCTCTACAAACTGAGCCAGTCAGGCACCTTCTCTGAATCACAAAAGTTCCATTTTGATGAAGTCCAATTTATCTGTTTTCCTTTGTTGCTCATGCTTTTACTGTCATAGATAAGAAGCCACCATCTCATTCAG